TGTCGATGTTGATTGAGAAACTGAAGGTGCTATAGATGATGAGGCACAAAGATTCTGCCTGTAGTAAGTTTTTGCTTCAGATCCAAGACCGAATATTATTTTCTTCTTTTCTCCCCCGGCAGCTTGATAGTATGCTTCACATTGATCAATATATCAAATTGAGAGGTTGTTTTTTCCCGTAATATTTCTTCATATTTTTCCTGTAATAAATTGAGATAAAGAGAAAACATTAAAGATTAGGAATAAAATTATAATGGAAGGAAAAGGCAAAAATGTTGTATGTCTAATTTAACTTGGATAATAGTTCTTATATTGGGAATACCCAAAGCTGCCCAGGACATTTTCGTGAGTACATAACTCACTGTAACATCATTCTATATTTCTGCAGGCCATTCATTAGCATTGTAACTGACTTGATGTATGAGGAAGACATACGTCATTCTATATTAGCAAAGAAAAAGATGTGCAGGCCATTCATCAGCATGAGGAAGACAACTGATTTGATGAATCATCATTCTATATTAGCATGGCAATTGGATTCATCACAAGTTTCTGGTTATTTTAGGCTACTCTAATAGTGAAAACATCTTGGAGACATGTCTATATGAGGTATCTTAATAAAATGGGCAACAATATTTAGGTTGAACTGCTTAATACATTTGGCTTGAAATGCTGAGCCTGCATTTAAACCAGCAGTGTATACATTAGACCAATAGTGTATACCTATTGAAATGTTGAGCTTGCATTTAATTGTAATCCAGAATTCTCACACTGTGTCTTTTCTCTCACAATTCCTCTGCTAACAGTAAATGCAAAACTCAATCATCTTAAAACTCTTTGTACAACAAATTACACAAGTTTCCCTCTTCCTTATAAGCCATTTAAAACCCCCAAATCACAATGAGTTGAATTTTGGAACTTTCTAAAAAGAGAGGGAATTTTAAAATTAGTATTGTACAAGTATTTGGGGCATCTAAGTTTGGAGAATCAAACTTGAATTGAGAAAGAATCAACTGAGAAAACGTAATTTTCATGTGGATTTGTTTGGTTAAAATCTAGTTTGTGTTTGTCTGACTCAACACACGCAACTGCAAATGGACAACTTTCAATTATTATTATTATTCTATTCTATGTTTTCCTGTTTTAGGATTTTAGTAGAAGAAACATGTGAAGGCTACCACAATAGTTGAACATGTTGCAATCCAGAATTCTCAAAACATTTCTACTCTCATAACATATTTTTTTATTAACATGCACATTTTGTAATCCTCTGTGATACTCAGTGAAACTACTAGACTGGGGGAAGAGGGCCATAGAACAGATGCTAAAATAACATCAGTACGGGCAGCTTTTACGCCCGTAGTGAAGAGAACTAAAACAATCCTCATGAAAACCAAAACAAGACAAAGATAAGGAAAACATGTTATGAAGTTCATATTTAAAACTACAAATGGTAGGCATTTACTGACTATAATCTAAACAAAGTGGAGACTTAAATTCGATTCAAACACAACGTTGAGCAGTGAAAGGAGAGCAAAGTCGGAGCATGAAGAAAGAAGCAGCCAAATATAATTGAATCGAACTTAACTTAGACGTAAACACTAAAATTTTGTCGCATCTCGACTTAAGGGTAAGGATGATGAAAACAACAAACAGTCGCCTAGTTAGAATGGAAGGAACTTTAACAAAGAAAACAACACAAAAGAATACTTCATCAGCTTGAAACAGATAGCTTTCCGACTCGTTTAAACTCAAATTCTTAGCTACAACAAACTTGAAACAAAATAACTCGTAATGTAGGATAACAGGCATGTACGACCATTTATGTTTTCCTATAGAAAATGATTTTGGACTTCATGACTGAATCACGACTTTCACAGCCAACCAAAACAGTGAAATAAGAGGACCTTACTAAGGAGAAACGAACTCGAGACTGAACCAAATCATCAAGATTACAAGGAGACAAAAGTCAAGCAAACAACATGAATAGCAAACAAGTTACACCACTGATTTACAGTCTAACAATAAGTCGAAACACTCTAAGAAATTTCTAACATCTGAACGAATTACAAAGATCAAGAAGTAAAGTAAACAGTCCACACATCAATTGAGCAGCAAGATAACAACATCCAACCATGAAACTAAACTACTATTCATTTTTAGCCAAGTTTTCCCTTCTAATAAGAAATGACATGTATATATTCAGATAGGTTTCAAAGTTTTGGACTTACATGGACAATTCGAGAGCGTTCGCCAACAAAAGATTTACCATCATGACCATGTGTATGGACGTGTAAATGTAACTCGCTTGGTGTTAGATCTCGACCCTTTTCAATAGCCTTTATAAAACAAAAAGTACTTTTTAGATACAAAAATATCTATTGCATAATGCGTATTTAGATACAAGTGTATAAATCAGACAACCTAAAGATGTTACTTATATAATTTGTGAAATATATACTTACAAGTTTCTTGCGATGCTCTCCAATTAAGATGAAGCCACTTGTGTGAGTCCCAGTTTTAAATGTTTTCACATTTGAATAAGAAAGGGAAACATCGATTTCCAAGAGAGCTTTTAAGCTAAAGTTTTGAGTAATTATCTCAAACAAAAGAAAGAAGTTTTGATTTTAAATCATATGAGCTAAGTATATTTTGGGAGTAGTATTGAGCACCGATATGGGGATGCGAGTTCGTATTAACTCAAGTCTCCATAAACCATGTAGCCATCATGGGTAGTAAATGATCATACTTTTTAGATGACTCCTTAAGATGCTTTTAGCATAGACTAGTGGATCCACTTAGTGAGTTAAGTTCTATACCCCCGACAAGGTATAGGACGGTCCTTGGCAGCGTGAGGTAAAACTATGTACCATCACTTAGGCTCATAGTGGTGGTTGTCGGTTAGAGAATTCCCCACAGAAACTATATTACTTTATTATATAAGTAAAGTTGAGTTTGTTATTGCATTTCCTTAACGAACTAAGTTGTTTTTCCACTGTTTTACAAGTTTTACATATATTGCATGTGTTTTATTGCTTTATATTGAGTTAAGTTATTCATGAGTTGAGAAGAGCCAAGGTAAGTGTTTCTTTCAGAATCTTTTCAAGCCTATGTTATGTTTAACATTCCAACTCGCATACTCGTACATTCAATGTACTGATGTCAGTTGGCCTGCATCCTATTATGATGCAGATGCATGTAATCAGGATCAACATCCAGCGCCTCGTTGATCCAGTTGAGCACTCCAGAGTCAGTTGGTGAGCCTCCTTGCATTCCAGATGACTCTTTTTTATTGCTTTCAGTTTTATTATTAGTTCATTAGGATGTTGTGGGGTTTGTCCCAACATTCATCTCAGTTGTTTTAGAGGTTTCAAAGACAGTCAGACAAATAATATTAGTTCTTTAGTCTTATTCATTTTAGTTGTATCCGTTTAAGATTTGAGTTTCCATTTTGGCTAAGTTATTATCTTTTAAGTTATTGCATGAACTTTATCTCTTATGTTTAAGTCTTCCGCTGAGTAAGTAAGCCAGACCAAGGGTTCGCTTGGGGCCAGCAATGGTTCTCGAGTGCTGGCCACGTCCAGGGTATAGGCTCGGGGCGTGACAGAAACATGTTGATCATACCTAATGTGAATGAGTATGAACGAAGAACTATATGTTATAAATCACCTCTTGTTGTATGACTGTGATGATATACTTGTGATTGTGATTGTGGTGTGTTGAATGGATCGGTTGCCACGTTCCGGCATAAATATGTGCCACGTTTCGGCATAATTATTGGATCGGGTACCACGTTTCGGTATGCTAACAGTTTGGGTTTGGGTTCCATGAGAGAACCAATGGTGTGATATAATTGTGTACATGGAGAATGTGAATTTGAACATAGATCATAATGATAATTGATGTTGTATTTCTCGGAGTTGTGTTATGGTTATGAGGTATTATGCTTGATTGTTCTTCTATGTTGAGTAGACTTGGTAATTATATTAATGGAAGTTGAAACGGAGGTGGGGAGTCAACGTCTCAAGAATTGTTAATGTCCAAGTGAGGGAGTCGTGTGTTGTAATGGTAAGGAGTGGGGTTAGTGTACGTGTTGTAGTTGTACTTGAGAATTATCTATGTGTTAGAATGGTTAGGCTATGATCAAGAACCTAGCAAGTAGGTTGACTGGAAAGGGGTTAGTAGTTAGACTACTAGTGTGATCTGTTGGTATCTCGAGAGAGGGAAAGGTGGAGAAGCGAGTGGTTTTAATTCATGATCTACTTGTTGGTTTCTTATGTTATGCGGTGGACGTCGGGTTGACCGATGATGCCTAATAGTACGTGTGGTTGTACTGATACTACTCTTGCTATGTCTTTTGACATAGTCTGGATGCAGGTTGGTGATGTTTCCTTAGGTGAAGATGAAGAATTCCCCAGCAGCTTCTAATTTTCCTTCCGCATGGTGGGAGCTATGTCAGTTATTATTTATGTCCAATTTGTACTCTTAGTAGCTCTTGTACCTGTTTAGACTTAGATCCTTGGGGTGTTAATTACTTTACAAGTCTTAACCAAAGTGTGTTAAAGATTCTATTTATAAAATATTGTTAGTACACTTTATTTCTGTTTTATTTAAATTTCCGCAGGTTTTTAATTATTGGGATATGAGGGTTCTCCTACTTAGGTGGTAGTATGTAGGTGCTCGCACGGTCCAGTGGGTTGGGTCGTGACAGCCTGCGGCCTTGTGAGTCTAGAGCCCACGAAGGTACTTCAATTGTCTTTCTTGCTATGAGTTTTATCTTATTCTACCCTTGTTATGTAAGCTGTAGAAAACTTTTCAGGTTGCTGAGATACTCAAAGATCGTCCTTCTTGGTATCGCGACTGCCGTTGTCTTAATGTACTAAGTGTAATCCCTACTGGCAATGGTGGGACCATGCGTTCACATTTTGTTGGGTTGATACCATGCGTTCACATTTTGTTTAGGTTTGTGCTCAATAAATTGCCATGTGTTTCTTTGTTAGACTTATGCTCCAACTACATTGGCAACTTCTCGTGACTTTTGGACATTGAGATACACTACAAGTTTGGAGGATGGCAGTCTTGTGGTATGTATTAGGCATAATTCAAAACCTTGAGACCAATGTTTCTATACTCTACTGGCCTATTGTTGCAAAAGCAGGCTATAGGCCTATAGCTACAACCTGTCATTTTGTGATGAATTTTTTCTGGCATAAAACATGCAGATATGTGAACGATCTCTGACGACAGCAACTGGTGGCCCAACAGGGCCTCCTGCTACAAGTTTTGTCAGGCCTGAAATGCTACCAGTGGTTACCTCATAAGGCCTTGTGAGGGTGGGGGCTCAATGATTCACATTGTTGATCATATTGATCTAGAGGTAAGACTGAAAAATGTTGGTTGATTGATATTTTGATTTCTTTAGATTACTGTAGTTGAACATACCCCATCTGTGCTCAGGCTTGGAGTGTCCCTGAAGTTTTGAGGCCACTTTATGAGTCTTCCAAGATCCTTGCTCAGAAGATGACTATGGCTGTAAGGAATTTTGAATTTGTTGGATGTTCATCTCCAGACTGACAAGTTGATTTAATCGTTAATAAGTTGCGGAGTACTCTGTGCAGGCCTTGCGACACATACGACAAATTGCACAAGAAACCAGCGGAGAGATCCAATACACAGGGGGTCGCCAACCTGCTGTTTTGAGGGCACTAAGTCAGAGATTATGCAGGTAAGAAGACAAACCAATTATTCAGTTAGAGACTTAAAAATAATATATACTGCACTGTCACAGTTGTAAATGAAAGCTTTTGTCAATGCTATGCTTTCTGCCAGTTTTGACTAGTCTTTTAAGAATTTAATCCATGATATTTTTACTACAGGGAATTTAATGATGCTGTTAATGGATTTGTTGATGATGGTTGGACTATTATGGATAGTGATGGTGTAGAGGATGTAACAATTGCTATAAACTCATCTTCAAGCAAATTCCTTGGTTCACAGTACAACACCTTGTCAATACTCCCTACATTTGGAGGTGTTCTGTGTGCCAGGGCATCAATGCTTCTTCAGGTATGTTAGCTTTGATATTTGAATTAGTGTAAACTAACAGAATTAGCATCAGTTTTCCAATTTGTGGATATGTATTAATCTCTTTCTGGTACTTCTTTTATGTAGAATGTTCCCCCTGCTTTGCTTGGACGTTTCCTTAGGGAGCACCGTTCCGAATGGGCAGATTATGGGGTTGATGCTTATTCTTCTGCATCTCTTAAAGCCAGTCCATATGCTGTCCCTTGTGCCAGACCAGGTGGTTTCCCAAGTAGCCAGGTCATTTTACCCCTAGCTCAGACTGTGGAGCACAAGGAGGTAGCACAGTCTTAACATGTTCTACTTTATAATTATTACCCTGGTAGAAGTTGTCTATATTCCGTAACAGATGAATCATTTTGTGGATTGACTTTTCCTTTATCTGGTTTCTTGAGGTAGTACGTCTAGACGGTCCTGCTTTCTCACCAGAGGACATTGCTTTATCACGGGATATGTATTTGTTACAGGTTGAGAATTCATACACATCTCAAATTGTATTTTATGTGCTTTTTGACATTTTCGGTTCACTAATTATCTAAGTACTGTTTCAGTTATGCAGTGGAGTTGATGAGAATGCTGCAGGTGCCTGTGCTCAGCTTGTTTTTGCACCAATTGATGAATCTTTTGGTGATGATGCTCCATTGCTTCCTTCTGGCTTCCGTGTCATTCCACTGGAACCTAAATCAGTTCAGTAATTTGTGTACAGAACGTCTAGCTGTTCAGTCACTAACTTCTAAATTTTAACTGGTCCAGACAGTGAAAATTCATTGTTGACGCTTGAAAAGTATCCAAACAAAAACATGAGGATTGTTTATCCTAAAAGTTCTCTAATCTTATGGTACAGGATGTCCCTGCAGCAACTCGGACCTTGGATTTAGCTTCGACTCTAGAAGCTGGAACTGGTGGGAGTGGGACACGTCCAGCTGGTGAAATTGAAGCAGGCAATTACAACCATCGTTCAGTCTTGACAATTGCATTCCAGTTTACTTTTGAGAGTCACTACCAGGATAATGTAGCTGCAATGGCTCGCCAATATGTACGAAGTATAATAGGCTCTGTTCAGAGAGTTGCAAAGGCCAAAGCACCTCCTCGACTCAGCTCTCAGTTAACACCTAAATCCTTCCCTGGGTCACCTGAAGCTGTCACTTTGGCAAGGTGGATTTCCCGGAGCTATAGGTATGGGTTTTAAACGTCATTGCTGTGACATTTTGCATCATTATGTGTAAAACTTCATATCATTAATCAACCTGTCATTGCAGTGAAGTAGGAAAAAGAATTACTTTTGACCTCGTTTATACTTGGTTCTTTGAACTTCAAAGACTAGCTGATATCTGATTATTTGCGTGGAGCTTGCAGTGACATTGAGTGTTTTACCTGGTCTCACTATTTCCCAATTATATTTCAGAGTGCATACAGGAGGAGACCTGTTCCAGGTTGATTCTCAAGCCGGTGATGCTGTTCTGAAACAACTGTGGCACCATAGTGATGCAATAATGTGTTGTTCTGTAAAAATGAATGTCAGTATACTGCTTCTATATTTGTTCTGAACCATGAATTAATCTCAATACTAAGTAGTTCTCCAAGATTCTTTCTAGAGATTAAACAATACCTAACTAGTTAGTGAACTTTGACATGCAGGCATCTGCAGTTTTTACATTGCAAACCAGGCCGGTCTTGACATGCTTGAAACCACTTTGTTAGCTCTTCAGGATATAATGCTTGATAAGATTCTAGATGAAGCTGGTTGTAAGGTCCTTCTATCGGAGTTCTCCAAGATAATGCAGCAGGTTAGACTACTACCATCATATTTTGATTCTATACATCCTTCAACTTAGCAAACATGAAAAACAAACTAGTTCCAATAAATACCAGAACAAAATTTGATACTGCAGTATTTAGCACCAACCAAGTTCGTTTCGACTTCACAAGTGCTAGACCACTCATCAACTACATGCTATCAACTCATACAAGAAAATGTTGTATAGGTAGTAAGTGAAGAATTTGACAAATTGTTCTGTTGTGCTTTTAGGGATTTGCCAATCTGCCAGCAGGAATATGTGTATCTAGCATGGGGAGGCCAATATCATATGAGCAAGCCATAGCATGGAAGGTTCTCAACGATGATGACTCCAATCACTGTCTAGCTTTTATGTTCATAAACTGTGTGGTTGGATCCCAACTCTATATCTATTGTAGTAGGAAATGCCCTTTCTGTTATCTGCAGGATCCTTATTTTGCTGCCTATTCAATTATGTTGGATGTCTTTAGGGAGTTAGATTGTTTTGAAACTGAATGTCTCCTTTTGTGAGGTGTACTAATTAGGTGGTCTGCCTAAGTGGTTAAGGCAAATTTGGATGTATTGCAGTTGGTACCACTTGAGTTTGTTTCTTGAGAGTCATTTCGCCAAAGAAGATGGTACATTCTAAAAGATGGTTTATCAAATGTCAACTTCAATAGGAAAATGTTGATTTTCTAGTGAGACGTGACTAGCTTGTTTAACCTCTTTTCTATTTACTACTCCATAGTCCATCCATTTTAATTTTTTTGTCTGGTTTTGATTTGGCATGTAGTTTTAAGAAGTAACAAAGTCTTTTGATTCTTGTGATCTTAAATTAAGATAGGTACAATGCACCAAAATATTTTTTAAATTTTGTGGTCTTTTAACATATAAATAAAAAATTGAAATTAAAGAGTTGTCATAAATCGAAAGAGATTTCTTTTGAAATAGATTATAGAGGAAACAAACAAATTAAAAATGAATGAGGTCAATCTTGACCGGATCCAACTGACCACCTCTGCAAACGCGGGACCTGGTCCGTGTACACAGGAATTGGTCCACGAATGCAGAGCGAAGCATACCCTTTCTCCACGAATGCGAATGCGGAGACCAAACCTAGATGCACAAGCAAAGGCTGTATCAACTGAACATTAAGAGTTGAAAAAGCTTCGACGGGGTGCTCAGGAATTCTTCGGAATCCCGTGCGCGCAAACAAAATATGCTATCCCATCAAATTTGGCATTCGAGACTCAATAGATCCATCGAAGTTTCATACGAGATCGTCTCGAAGAAAAGTGGGTCTCTCACCCAAGTTCCATTTTAAACTAAAATCTGTAAGAAGACTCAAAATGAGATTGGAAGCCTCAGAGACCGCACGAAAGGTCATTCTACACCAAACTTGACATTCTAAAGTAAACCGCGCTGACAAATACCAAGAATATTGAACGAAGTCAAACCTTGACTTAAGCTTTAAAGTTAAAACGCCTAACGACACCAACTCACATCGAAAGCCTCGGGGACCAAACCAATCATGCCCCTAGCCTTAAAGTGGCGCTTTCAGAGCTGATGAAACCGTCAGAATTGCATTTTGAAACCGTCTTCCTCAATTTTTTACCAAAGTCAATCGTTCAAGTTTCAAAGGCTCCAAAACAAGGAAACTTGCACAAAACTCAAACAAACGACCTGACGACCGAACTATCAATCCCAGCAAGTCATAAATAACCTGGGGCCACTACATGAAAGCTCTAATTGCTAAACAGATCGGAAAATAGCGGAAATGACCTGGAGGGTCACTACAACAAATTACATCAAAGTACTTTTATGTATAAAATAAAATTATTAAAATTATATATATAATGTCGAGTTAGTTTGATCTCGAGTTGACTTTTTAAAGTTGAAACCAAATCAATCCAAGTATAATTGAGTTTGTTTCAATACCAAACTAAAGTCAAATCAAACCACTAGTCGGATTTTTTCTCGACTTAACTCGATTTACGATTTAATGTAATTTTCATTTCGACTTTGTTCACCCCTAATATTTGGTATCTACCCTACCATGTCCTCACCTACATCTAGGAATTGTTTCCTTCCATTTTAAATTAATACCACGTCTTTGAAAACCTGATTTCAATTTGTATCTCAAGAACATACATATATTTATTAAAAAATTGGTAAAAACATTATTGTGTGAGGACCGCAACATGATGAAATGTGAAAGGACAGAGAAAGAGTTTGTTGTAAGTTTGATAAAAAAATTTCCCTCTGTGAAATCAATGAGACATGGGAATTTGCAGTGCATATGAAACCCAAAAGTCAAAACTATTGGGACCACTATATGGTAGGGACCTTTAAATTTAAATGTTGCAAGTAAAATTTAGTTGAATATATGTATGCAAGTATTTATTTATTTTTTGTGAAATAATTTGCATATATATGAGGGGAATGTCCGAATTTGTTATGTTCATGCTTTTCGTGGTTAACAAAGCAAAGACGATGGTATGTGTACCTAAAACTTGCAGCGGAATGAGTTGAATTTGCCATCAATTTGAAACAGCCCAAATGGACTTCGTCTCTCGAGAAAATGGAGTGCAATTATCACAAACTAAGTGTCTTTTTAGTATGTTGATTGAATTCTGAAAAAAAGATACGTTTTTTCTTTTTCGGTTTTTGTTTTCTATGTCACCTCTTTTTTCAACCAAAGAAGAAGACTATTCTTATAAAGAGAGGTTGAAGAGTAACTAAGTAGTAATTATTCCCTCTTCTTTAAGAAACAAAATAGAATTATCCTTAATTATTTCTTTTTCAGAAATTAAATAAGATTAGATCGGGTTGGTAAGGTCGGATCAGATCGGGTCGTTCCACATGGGCGATTCAAGACTCAATTTTTTTTATATCTCCCACTTCACATATGGCGGACAAGACCCAAGACAATATGATATCAACTAGACACACAATTCATACGACAAATAGTTCGTGCGATCTGTGAGCATCAAGGCTCGCCTTCAAGGTTTTACAAGCCCTACATAGGAATCGAATCACACGTGAAAATAATTCACTACTAATATAAGGATATATTACTCACAATACCTCATACTTCATTCACTACTTCAGTAGTTACTTATTCGATCCCTCATCCTCTTAAAGAGGTTAACTCGAGTTCATGTTTAGCTTTATATACACAATTACACTAGACACCAATATGGTTAGAGTAATAGTCAGCATGTGTATGTAAATTACATTATTATTAAATTAATCATCTTTCTTTTCTACTTGAATCTATCTGTTACAATTCAAGTGCTTTCTTAGACATGCACTACATTGCCAAATCATTCATAACTATTAGCAACATGCTAAAGTACCAACATTGAGTGAACCTTCAAGAATCAGTAAATGTCTAAGGGTATTCCAATAAAATTAATTTACTTTTCGGGATCTCACACAATGAAGAATCAGAGAACCATTCTTTCATTAATCCATTGATTGCTTGACACACGTAGTATAA